CTCCTGTCGCGGTCTCGTGCCGATGCCGAGTCGGGTGAACTCAACTCGTGCCATAGTGTTTTTATCAATCCCCGCCCAGAAACCTCGTGAAGGATGCAGTTTGGGGTGGCCTACTGGTAACTGCTCAGAAGGTCTGGGTCCAGATCTTCGGAGTATCATCAGAAGCCTTCGTTCGGATATCTGTTGAATCTAGACCCTACATTTTCGCAAGCCAGCGCCTCCGAATCTCTTACAGAATCCCAGGCTTCTCTCGCCTAGGCCTTGGCTTTGGCGCTTCCTCCCAGCACTTTCACGCTCTTCAACCCGTCTCAGGCTACAGATTATGGTGGATGCCTCCCACCAACACGACGCGGTCACAGTCGACCACGGCCGCTTTAGCGCCGACAGTCAAGCCCATCTCGCAGCACATCTCTGCCTTGGGCTCCAGTTGGATTTATTCTCTCACTGCGCCTCACTTTTTTCTCACGTGCCGTTGGTTGAAATCTTCGAGACAAGAACTGTACTCGCAGTATCATCTTAATTGCCGTGGCTTTCGGATCTAAATCCCGACTACGGTTTGACTCGTCCCCAGAGGAGGATCAAGTTGAACATTTCCTCTCACCACCGAGGGTTCTCCCACTCCCAGCCCGCAGCCTGAATATGCCCAGACCCCGCTCTATTCACGTCTCTGGCATATCGATCGCCCGGGCCATCACAGCAGCCTTGGACTTGGGCATCTAACTTAGCTCAGGCCCACGCACGGAGAATCTGCGGCCCATCATCGAGGGAACGCCGGGCCCAATCGTGCCTCGTTCAGCGCTACGGCGTGCAGTGCACAAAAGAAGGACTTCATCACGGCGCTCATAGGTCTATCAACGCCTTCATCTTTCAAGGCAGCTCGGATATCATAGCATCTCAGTCCACCATATTTTGGACGCGGCGCGCAAGCTCCATCGGTGAATAAGAGCAGACATACGGCGATCCCAATGCCTGGCACGTTATAGTTTCATGTGCGCTTATTCGGTGTGGGAGTCGGTGGCGCGCGCCTGGCAGCGCGCGCGATGGCTGGGTATATCACATCGCACCCGCGCTGGACAGGCCTCCAGAATGGCTGCGGGAGACGCGGGTATCGCGGCGTCGGGCGGGATGCTGCTGATTTGGCGACAAGGTATTCATTCTTTGCGGTCTAGCCCCAGTGAGATTTTCCTCGCTCAACGCAATGGTCACTCATTTGTCCGGCGCTCGCACCGACATCCGATCTGTGTAGCGGGGTGGGAACCGTTCATCCCACATCCCACGCTGCCACGCCCCTCCGCCCCGAACCCTCCGGCGAAGGATGATTGGATTCCTGAAAACAAGATCCGTCTGCCTCCGGGACTTCCTGCAGAACACTGAGAGATCCAGACTCCCGGTGTCTTGCGTCGCCACAGAGTTTGTGGCGTTGAAGTGGTACATGGCCCCGGCGGCCGGCCTTCTGGGCGGTTTTGCCGAAATGGCATCCAGGAAGAATACCGTATGTCCGTCCGTTGAATTCGTAGGAAAAATAACAAGCAACCTAGATTGGATCTCGATGCCCCTTCCCGTCTGATGTTGTCGATATCCGCTCCATTCTTCGCGCTGGATACATCCCAATAATTCTTGAACCTGCGTTCAGTAAAAAACCACCTTGATCGAGGCATTTCTCCGCGCCGAATCCTCACGCTACCACGGCTTCTTATCCACCGCCCGAGCCCTCCCAGGGCCTAGGCCCACTTCTTTCGTGCATTCTTGATTCACAGCCCCTATCATCTGCTCACAGGACGCCAATTCTTTCCCGTCACCGGCAAGCATGACGAATCCGGCGTCTTAGGCTGAGTTAGCGCGGGTGGTTGAATTCTCCTGAGATAACTTCATTTCAACAGGAGACCTGCAAGAGCTCCGGAATCGCACTCCCACGTGGGAAGAGTTCTACGAAATTGAATACCGTCAGTGCGCTTGAGGCATAGATATGCTATCACAGAGAACCATCGCTTTGGCCGGGACCGAACGCCAGGGGTGCGCCTGACCTATGCACACCCCGTCCACCATTTATGCATTCACCCCAGATTTTCCCCGCACGGAGCATGGCACTCACGCTGCCACGGACATACACTCTCCGAGCCCGAATCACGCTTCGCGGGAGTCCATTCTGCGCCTCCCGTCTCGATTTATATAGTTACATTTACCCCAGAATTTCCCCGCAGAGCACAGCGCTCTCGCTATCACGAACTTACACCCTCTGAGCCCGGTGCTCGTCATCATTCCCGTCGGGTACGCGGCACGACGCAGCGAACCCGGCTCTTGCGTCCGCCTGCCCCGACTAATATTCCCGCGCTTATTCTGGGATTTCGCCGCAGTGCGCAGACGTTTCGCCGCCGCCCAATTGTAGGGCGGGCGTTGGACTCCGGCATGCGCTGGGGCGCATAGCCGGCGAGGCGTCCCATGCGCACTGGGGCTCGGCCGCGACGGCTGCAGCACGACTCACATCGACATCGACATCTCTGCCCTGGGCCTGGACGTCGACATCGACGCGCGGTATTTTTCGAACACTTGTATCCTTCGACGTATCGTGCGTCTGAACAGGCCCAAACAGCACTGATTGTCTGTTGCAGCAGCATGCATGTTAGACACTCAGAGCCGCCCGAATGAATAGCACAGGGCCCCAAATTCAAAGTTCAACCAAAGGGAATTAACGCAACCACGGCCCGCATAGAGGGCGCTAAAGCCGCTAATTGAAATCCGAACGTCAGCAGGCCTCCTCGCCATATTCACGCACCGACGGCGGCTATACCACTCTAAAAAATAAGCGTGGCCAAGCCCTATTTCAGTGAGAATCCGCACTGCTCGGGTCGGCGATAGAAGTGAACCCGAAAAGAATTAGAAGTGAATTGAAGCCGATCGCACTCCTTGATGCCCAGAGCACTCATCACCGCCTGAGAAATCGAGGGGTTGGCTTGATATGGGATATTTCTATTGTGCGGGCGTAGGGCGGGTGCACTGCGTACCCGTGTATAATTGAGTTCGGCGCCATTATGTTTTGGTTTTGGTTTTATTTTGAGGTGGGCACAGAGGACGAGGCATCCTCACATGCCCAGCGCGCCGAGCGAGGGATGGCGCAATTGCGATTGCATTAATATCCATTCATTCCTGGGCTAGCCTAGTGCCGGCCCGCTGTGGTTGTATTTCTGTCATGATCAGCGTCAGAGAGATTTGGGTTGCATAGTCTACGGCTAACTGGCAGACCCGCCGTTCCTTCGTTTCTTGGTCCGCGCCGTGAAGCTTCGCGGGCCGTATCCGATTCCGTTTCGTACATAGGTCCCGTCAAAAAGACAGAAAGAAAATCAACGAACGCACGTGAAGGTTGAACTTCAAAAACAATTCTACTTGGATTAATATCGTGTCGAGTAGAATCCAATCTCATGCTCCTGCGATCCACAGAACGAAGGCATGACGGTGCCCGTGCATGGGAGCTCGGCGCAACGCCGGATCGCGCGCATAAATAAATCGAGTTACGCCGACACTGGAAACTTGGCATTTCTCGCGTGGGACCGGCGAGGCGCACTAATGTATATCCTGCAGACAATCTGAGGAGACTCATTGGTGAAGCTCCGAGCCACGAACATGGCGTGGTTGTGCGTGGTTGAATTTCTGCATGATCACGATTCGCACGCAAAGCGGGCGCTAAATCTGCCAAGAAAAATAACCTCACAGTAAAATGGCACCGAACTCAATTGAAATGCACATCCCTGCGCTAGAGCTATGCCATATCTAGCCAACACCTCGATTTCCCAGGGATGTGTCCGCGATGGGTGTTGCGCTCCGGTTTACTCCTTCGCGGGACCGGGTCATTTTGAAGTTCCAATTTACATCCAAGTTCTAGTTATTGCGCGGGTGGCCACTATTCTCCTTCTAAGTTTGCGCTCCCTGTATGCCGGATACTTTGGGTCTCGGGCTTGCTTTGTCTTCTCCTTTTGGTGCCGTATTGGCGCCGACGTCGTCGGTGCGTGATCGTACCGCGAACGCAAAGTTCCGACCCTCCGCCAAACGCAAGCCGCCCCAGATCCCCCGGGCACGAACAGTTCCCAGTATCGGCGTAACTCGGTTTATTTATGGACGCATCTATGCGAGGCGCGATCTGGCGTTGCACCGGCGCGCGGCGCCGTCGTGGGTTTGCGCCGGGGAGCGTGGGGTTGAATTTGATGAGTACGATGTGTCGCGGCCTGTGTGGAATTCACTCAGAAGCATTGGACGTACATGCATTATCCGTCGTGGGTTTGCGCCGGGGAGCGTGGGGTTGAATTTGATAAGTACGATGCGTCGCGGCCTGTGTGGAATTCACTCAGAAGCATCGGATGTACATGCATTATATTATTCACGCTCCCGGTCTTCCGAAAGCCATATTTCATCCTTTCAAAGTATTAAGACCTCGAGAGCCTTCTACAGCCCCCGCATTGGAACCGAACGCGTAGTGGCGGTGTCTGGTTGAATTTATTCAGATGTTATTTCAACCGCTGCTCCCTTTTTTTATTGTTGCAGAGTATTGCGCTTAGCAGAACGGTTCAATCTGAGGATCACAGCTACGCAGCGAGTCGTAATTTAACCTTTGTTCTTACTATTGTTCGTAGATTTAAATCAGATCTAGAAGGTCCAGTGGCTTTGCTTTGAATCCCATTCACGCTATTTCTGACTGTGCTACAGAGGGCAGCTGCCTGCATAGTAGCCGTCGACGGGTGAACCTACATTCGAAAGTACGTCAATCCCTTTTATCTTGTTCCCTGTGCTGAAAACTCATACATGTATTCCCAGTCAGGGAGAGCAGACAGTAAATGGTCCAGTGGTGTTAGTGGTAACGCACCTGCATTTGATATGTGTTCTCTAGAGTATTTTTCAGCAGGAACACCTTGTTCGACTTAGGGTTAAGCCATCCATTTCTCTCGGTGTCTCTTTTTTGTGTTGCAGCACTACTTCGTCCGTATATCCCTGCGCAGGGAGAGTACTAGAATGGCTTAGTGGTGTAGTGGTAACACACCCGCATTATGTAACCACAAAAAGACGATTTCTTAGCAGGAACTCCTTGTTCGACTCAAGGCTAGGCCATCCATTTGTTGTGTTTGTCCTTTTTTATATCGCTTTTCATCTTCTTCCCTTCGCTGACAACTCATCGGTGTATTCCAAGTCAGCGAGGACAGACAGTGGCCTAGTGGTGTAATGGCAATACACCTGTATTATTTTTATCGTGCAGAAGATTTCTCAGCAGGAACTCCTTGTTCGATTCAAGGCTAGGCTGTCCACTTGGTTTCATATCTTTTTGATTTGGTTTGATTTGCGCACTAATTCTTTGGTGTATGTATTCTAAGCCCGGAGGAGCAGAAAAGAACGGTCTAGTAGTGTAATGGTAGCACACCTGCACTCTATGAGTCAGGAGGAACATTTAACAGGAACTCCTTGTTCGACTCGAGGCTAGGCCATTCATGTTGGTCTTTTTTTTAAAATCGCTTTTCATCTTCTTCCCTGCACTGAAACTTATCCATGTATTCCCAGTCAGGGAGAGCACAGAATGAGAATGGTCAGTGATGTAACGGTGACGTGCCTGCAATCTATATGTGTTGGAAAAACAATTGTTCAGCAGGAAGCTGCTTGTTCGACTCAAGGCTAGGCCGTCCATTTATTATTTTTGTTTACTCTAGATCTCCTTCCTTGCTCCCTCCCTCCCACACTCCCTGTCTCCGATCTTTCAGCGGTCGCACACCATGCCTTCGCTCCCAAGGAGGTTTGAACCCCGTGGCTGTGTTGGTTGAAAAAAGCCTCTCCATCAAATCGAAATCAAAATTAATGAATGTCAACCTTCAACGCGTACGCGTACGGCGCTGTACGACGGGCGCCACGACCGGATCGGCCGCCTGTATCGCGCCCGCGCCCGCGCCGACCCACCTCCGGCTCGATACTGATGGCAGTGGGCGATATAAGTAAATGGCGAGCCAAGCCAAGCCCTTGATTAATCGGCTCAGGGATTGCCACTGATTAGATTGGATTGATAAATTGGCGCCGCGAGCGTCGGGGATGCGAAAGGGCAAGTGCCGGCGTCGCGCACAAGGTCGCGCAAGGGCAAAGGCAAAGAAGCACAATCGGGAAGGCAATCAGGGTGAGAGGGTTGCTGTTGCGGTTGCGGTTGCCATATTCATGCGGACTTCAAACAAACACGTTTTTCGTCCCAACTTGGCCGTTGGCGTTTCGCCGTCGGCCTCCGGGAAGCTGGTTCAACAGAATACGTCAAGCATCAGGGTGGGACAACGGTGGGAGACTCGACTGTTTTTGAACTTGAACGCGGGGATGAAGGGGAAGGGCATGGGGATGTGGGGACGCGGACGGCCGGAATGGTCGGGAAGAATAAAGAAGACAGTGGGTAATGCTATAACCATACAAAGGACCCAGTATTACCATAAAGAGGACCGAGGCGTGCCCAAGCATCACTGCAAAATTTCAGGCTCGACTCGGAGATGATCGATGCCCCTAAGTGGCAATAAATCAACCACGCAAAGTACCCGGGCAGGCACGAATATTAACGTTGCTCAGCCTTTCTCTCATGATCAGGGTAGGGCATCTACTCTTTCCTTTTTGTTTTGTTGATTTGATTTAGCTTCGAAAAACGCGGTGACCTCGAGAGAAGAAGAAGAAGAAGAAGAAAAAACAAAGAACGGACGGTGGACGGTGGACGGTGAACCGTTTTCCTTTTTTCGAACATGACCGGGAACGTGGTGATACGCCGGGAGGACGGAAAGGAGGGACTTCCTTGACGTATTTTCCTCTTTGCACGTCACCAAAAACGTGCCGCGTGCGAGGTCCGCCTATGTACAACGTGACGGCGACGGCCCATAAATATCAAAATTAAAGATTACCTCGGACCGCGCGCGCAGAGCTACCCCACGCGGGGTCCGGGCGCCTGGCGGCTGGCATCGGGTCGGGCGCGCGCGAAATTAAATTAATGAATTGGCCCTCAGGCTGTCTCGCTGCGCGTAGATACGAGCGCGTAGATAACGAGCTCGGATTTTAAATTTCCTTGTTTGTGTTGTGCAGATGCAGACTAGGCCCAAAGACTCCACACAACGAGCAGCAGACTTATCGTTTCGTTTGGAAATATACAGCGATACAAGCTGGGTGCTTATCTACACGTACAATTACAATTACAATTATTTTTCTTAGCGGTAGGTAGCGCGTTGGACGCGAGGATAAGTACGGAGTGCATTCAAGGGATGAGAAAGCGGGAGAAGAGACTATTGTGCGAGAAAGGTGGCGCGATGCGATGCAGGAGATATGCGGGGAAGAAGGAAATTGTGCGATTGACGGACGGACACGAGCAGCGGGAAAAGGATATCTGGGGCATGAGTCCCGCCCGGCGCCCGTCACGAGGCGCGCGCTCGTCAGGAAGGGGGCAGCGGCGGCGCATGCGTGCCCGCCCACGCTGCGCAAGTTGCGATGCGTAGCGCTTAGCGCAGACGTGTGGGCGCAGGCAGGGCGCGGGAGCACGCGTGCTAGCGGCGGGAGGGCGGCGCGCGTAGCGGACGTGGGAGGCCGGAGCGACACGGCCCTCGCGTCGCGGCGGGCGCTTCAGTGTTGAGCAAGCGTGGGAGGCGCGCGCGTGGGCTGCAGGGTCGACGGCCGGCGGAAGAGACCAGCGCGGGTGTGCGAGTGGCGAAGGCGGGAATGCGGGTGAAGCGCCTATACAGCGCCCCGTGCCTCCTCCAGCGCGTACGCCACCGCCGCGCCGCACGCCGTCTTTGTCTCGTCCATTGCGTCTCCTGCTAGAGCATGCATCCGGAACGCCCGCGCGCTCACGAATTGTCGGTCGCACGCGGGGCAGACGGTCTCCCCGCGCTCGAGGAGGGAGCGCGTTCGATGATGCGTGGGCGGGGAAGACGGGGAGGAGGGGAGAGGCGAGGGAGACAAGAATCGAGGACGGGAAGAGCGCGGCGAGGTGTGTCTCCGGGCGAGCGCGAGCGCGGTGGGCGAGGGCGGGGTGAGGAGGAGCGCGGGCTGCCGGTGTATAGGCGTATCGTGGTCGTCGTCATCGTCATCGTCCATGGTCATTCGTACGTGGTGGGGGGAAATGGAAGGCGACGGGGACGGGGATGGGGAAGCGGATGGGGAGGTCCGCGAGCGTTTCGAGGCGCGCGAGCCCTCCGCCTCTGAGGACGACGAGGAGCGTTTACGCGAGGCTAGACATGACGCAGCATCAGCCTTCGCCCAGTCCATGAACAAAGGGAAGGACGTACAAAGAGCAGGAGGCGCCAGCACAATCGGCACCGGGGACAGAGCGGGCTCGACAGGCGTGGGCGACGGCGGGGAAGCAGGGGCGAGCTGCGCGCGCCACGTAAGGATGCGGCGCACCTTGAGCGCCGCGGCCTCGCGCTCCCTTGCCCGCTCCTCGTCCTCTTCTTCGCCGTCGTCCATGGAGGAACAATAGGAGCCCTCGTCTGCTGCTTCGTCTTCGGCAGCGTTGTTGTCGGCAGAGCAGACGGAGGAAGAGTAGGCAGAAGAAGAGCAGGCGGAGGATGAGTACGCAGATGATAAGGTGGTGGACGACGCCGACGACGGCGGCAACGCGCGCGGGGCGCGGGGGGGCGCGGGGATCTCGACGAGCTGGATGACGCGGATCCCCGGTGCGAAGTCGGTGGGGTGTTTATCGTCGATGTCGAGCGACGACGACGACGTCGACGCGAGCGGCGTGTGTGGCGGGTACAGCATTCTCGTCAGGTCGTTAGGTCGTATCCTTAGCGGGGTTGCAGTGGCAGAGCGAGTCGGACCAGCCTAGCAAGAAACAGGGAGGGGCCCAGCCCACCTACCCGCGTCCTTATATACCGGCTCTAAAGGTGGTGGGGGGAAAGCAAGTTGTACCCATCACTCGTCACTCGCTCGCCTCCTTCCCCAGCCCGCGCAGATTTAGCTGGCGAGATGCGATCTCGTCGGGGGGAAAGTCAGTTGATGCCCAATTCCGGCTCGTTTGGCCATCATCTAAGCGTGCACGAGTTCGAACCTGTGAGGTCACACTATAATCTTTTGGGCTTCTCGGGTGCTTCAAAGCCTCGAAGGACGCCCAAATATAACCTATTCACCTCGGGAGAGCCGAGGATATACTCTCCCACCTCCGGGGCCTTGGGGATGTTCGTGGTTTGGAGGCATCAAAGTTCAAAGAAATCTCAACGTAGACAGAGAAATGGGCAGGGACTCGACAGGCCAACATGGACACAGCTCAATAGCTAAAATGATTTGAATGTGTACTGTGTGAGAACCTGTGCGAACACCAGATGTGAATAAACAACTTAGAAGTGTGCGTTCTCTGGCCCCGTTAAATCTTAGGGGCTGAGTTGGCAGCTGCAAAAGAAGTAATGATAATAGTTGGAAGGATTAACAAATGGTGCGCCTGCAGCTCGATGTGGCCAAGCAGATTTGAAGTCGACTCTCGGAAGAGGAAGCCGGACTGATGCGAACTTTGAACTCCTCGAACTCCGCTCGCTATCCGTCGCAATATAATGTGTCTTTGTCTCTGTTGAGGTACCTTAAATCCCGAGTATATTCAGTTAAGCATGTAAGCTATTTACAGAGGCGTTCGACCTTTTCTGGAATTTCTAGCACCCCGAAATGGTATTCTTGGGGCTTTTTCGAGACCACCACGTGCAAGCGGAGCGGGCTGCGGAAGCTGTCGCGAAATAACTTTAAAGGCCAAAGATCCCCTAACCACGTGCAATATTTTAGTATCTTTAAATAGGGGAAGTCAAAGCTAGCAAGGAGGGCCGATTCATGGCCGATTCCGAGACCGATTCTGAAATCGATTCTGGGGTCGAGAATCGGTCGAGATTCGCTGAATCGGCTGAATCGGTGTTCCTGCTCGAGAGGAGGAACTCATCAGAATCGGTCCCGATTCTTGACACCCCGATTCTGATCACTGAATCCGAGTGTGAATCGATTTCCCGAATCGCTCGCTGAATCAAGCTCGGAATGGGTCGGTCAGAGTACCGACGATTCTCATCCGATTCTGTGCATCGATTCTGACGAGAATCGGCTCCAGAATCGAGCCATGAATCGGCCCTGCCTGACCGCTTTGACTTCCCCTATTATCTTTATTTTTTTTTCAGGAATATACGCGGCAGTGGAAACTCCCGTGATCGGCATTGGTCGGCAGCGTTCGGCAGTGCCAACCAGCGGTTCTCAACTGGCTCTTGGTGGACCCCGGTGGACATGCAGGATATTGCTGCCATTCATCCACCAGACATCAGCAATTTGACAATTAGCTTGTGACTTGTTTGGCCTTGTGAGCTTGTCCGCAAGCTCACAAGGTCAACTGGAGTTCAATAGATATAAAATCGCCGAGACTACCACGGGTATCCTCCGTGGTCCACCAATAAAATAGTGTTGTTCAAAGTTGCTCCCACTTGAGCTCCTACTCATCTTCCTACTTCAGCTCCTACTTGTT